GGACGCCAACAGCAACCAAGGCTCAACTACAACAGGACAGTGCACACAGCCCACACAGGGGAGCACCTAGAAGGCCCAGCTCAGGTGACTGGGGAGGCTGAGCCACTGGGCCCTACAGGACACCTACTACACAAAGCCACTCTACAGATTCCAGGAGACATAGCAGCTCTACCTAATACATAGAAACAAACACCTGGAAGCAGCCAAAATGTGGAGGCAAAGAAACATGTCACAAAGGAAAGAGCAGAAGAAATCTCTAGAAGAGGAACTAAATGAAATAGATCCAAGCAAGCTAACAGATACAGAGTTCAGAATTATGGTTATAAGGATGCTCAAGGATATTAGTAAGACTATTAAGAAAACAAGTGAGACAATCGATAACATCATAAAGTACCAATCAGAAATGAAAGCTACACAAACTGAAATGAATAATTTACAGGGAATCAACAGTAGAGCAGAGGACGCTGAGAATCAAATCAGCAATTTGGAATATGAGGAAACAAAAAACACCCAACTAGAACAGCAAAAAGAAAAAAGAATCCGGAAATATGAAGACAGTATAAGGAGCCTCTAGGACAACTTCAAGCATCCCAACATTTGCATTATGGGGGTGCCAGAAGGACAAGAAATTGAAAACCTATTTGAAAAAATAATGACAGAAAATTCCCCTGCCTGGTGAAGGAAATAGACTTACCGTCCAGGAAGCACAGAGTGCCAAACAAAACCAGCCCAAAGAGGCTCGCAGCAAGACACATCATAATTAAAATGCCAAAGGTTAAAGACAAAGAGAGAATCTTAAAAGCAGCAAGAGAAAAGCAATTAGTTACCTACAAGGGAGCACCCATACAACTGTCAGCTGATTTCTCAATAGAAACCTCGCAGGTCAGAAGGGAGTGGCAAGAAATATTCAAAGTGATGAAAAACAGGAACCTACAACCAAGATTACTCTACCCAGCAAAGCTACCATTTAGAATTGAAGGTCGGATAAAGAGCTCCTCAGACAAGGAAAAGCTAAAGGAGTTCACCACCACCAGACCAGCACTACAGGAAATGTTGAAGGGTATTCTTTAAGAAGAAGCTAATGAACCAAAGAATCTGACTAAATAGATCCAGAGACATTGACACATGCAACAGACAATCATATTTCAGAGAGAAGGAAGGGGGGTGGAGGGTGGGAAGAGATTAACCAAAAAGTTATATGCATAACCCATGGACACAGACAATAACGGGGTAAAGGCCTGGAGAGGGGGTGGGAGCGAGGTGGAGGGGGTCAATTGGGGGGGGAAATGGGACACTTGTAATACTTTCAACAATAAAGATAAATTTTTAAAAAACAAAAAACTTTTCCTCCCATGCATACTTTTTTAAGAAACTACTAGAGGAGTTGCTCTGCTAACAAACCAAGAAAGAGAAAGAGGAGATCAGGAATTCTCAGGACTACTAGTGGGTAAAATACCAGTGCGATAAAGTGATAAATGTGTGGCAGGCACAGAAAGCAACCAATTCGGACTACAGAGCTCCATGAAAAAAGATGTAACCAAGTAAAAGTGAAAATGAGAGCCACCTTTAATTGGGAAGAAATTTACACTTCAGACTGCAGAGCTCCATGAAACATGTAACCCAGTAAAAGAAAATGATAGCCACCTTTAATTGGGAAGAAATTTACATTTCTAAAAGATGAATCAATGACAGGATACATAAAAAATGAAGGGAACAAAAAGTCGTTTTTATAAACATAATTATAATTAACCAGGAAAAATAAAACCTTATAGAAGAAAGGAAGTGTAATCACAGTATGCCAAACCTCAATGGTGACAAATATTTACATACGCAAAAACTGTACATAGTTAACACTGACACCCAACAATTGTGTCAAAACTGCACAAGAAGGATGGAGGGAAAAGACGCGTATGTATGTGAGAGAGCTAACTGTAATCTAAACCTTCATTTTCTGTGATAAGAAGTCCACAGACACTATCTATAATTGACAAAAGGCAAGAAATAGAATAAGCACGACATACTAAAACACAGGAAGTGAAAAATTACCTTTAGGGAGTCTGAACAGGGAAAGGGGAGAGGGAGGCAGGAGGCAAAGAAGCAATTTTTTTCATTAAAAACCTTGTTAAATCTGACTTTTTAAAGTACGTAACATTTTAGTTTTTAAAATTTAATTTTAATATAATTTTTTTTAATTATGGGAAAGTGAAGAAAAACAAAGTAAAAACTAATCCATTACAATTTCAAAGTTAAGATTAAAAGCTTTAACAATTTTTTTCTTTCAAAATTAAAAGCACAATTCCTAATAAAACCAGTGCATAGGGAACACTAGACTTAGGATGGTGGCTTTCTTATGAAATGCACTTTACCAATAGACTTCAACTTGCTCAATCCTATAGCACTCTGCCTCACAGTCGCATTGTATTCTAAAGCAGCATTCACTATATGGATTACCTAAAATTATGTTCAGTAATTGTCAACATTCATTCTCAAGTAAGTTGGCTTATCACATATACATAACACTCTGTACTATGTACATACACACACACACTTGGTATCAGTTTCTTGCCTTCTGTCCTAGTCCAACAAATATACAGGTGCTGACAGTGATAGGTAGTGTATATTTTCATTAGATAGAAAATTCTTTTTCTCTTTTTTTCCCCCAATTCTTTTTTCTTTTTCCAATTTCTTTCCAAAGTTTATAGAAAAGTTGTTTTTTGTTTCAGCAGATTCAATTATTTTACTATTAGTGGAAAATGAATGCCCCAAATACTTTATTTTTACTGAAAAATTATATGTAACAAAGTAATTCTAAGCTTGAAAATGAACAGGTCAGTTATTTTGGGGTTTTTTTTTAGATTTTTAGGTTATTTTAGATTTTTTATATTAATTATGTGTTTTGGATCTTATAAATATAAATGAACAATGCTAGTACACCCAAGTGTGATTGTCTTTTCTTCTCTCTCTGGAGAGAGCATGTTTATGCTCAAACTAAATCTAAAAAAGATTTTGGAAGGGTAGCACTTATATCAAAGGGCATTTTTCAAGGTCACTGTCCTAACACTAAAGAGTATAAATTTTTAGGGATAGGCATAATTTTTCATACATCCACTGAATATTACTAGGCAGTTACTAGGCTGACTACTGGAAAGGATTCAAAGACAGACAATTCGTATTTCCAACTTGCAATAAGCTTAAAATCTAATAGAGAAGTTAAATATCGACAGTAAAAAGAGAAAATCTAACAGCAGATTAAATAAAGCTCAAATCTGTGAGCATAGTTCTGGCTACAAAAATCCTAGGCCAACTCCAAAATAAGGGTGCCCAGGGAAAAGACAGATCATTGAGACTCACACCAGTTCCTGATTCTACTAGTCATTTTCCCAGGGTTCTTTCAGAAGCTCTTGAAGAACAGAAAAGTTGCATAGATATGTGCAAACCTGAAAACTACTGTACATCTCCTTCTAGAGTATGAAAATAAAGCTAATACTGAAACAACTTCCTGCCACAAATATATCGGTATCTCAAGTCACTGAGTACTCTGTCTTACAACTTATAAAGATCAATTAGAGATACTGTAATTTTTTTTTAAGCAATAACATTTGAGAATGTGAGGGAGCACATCTATGAAGATTAAATAGACATAATAAACTGTCTTGACCAGTTAATGATGTCAGCTTACTCATGAGAAAGATAATTAGAAGAAAACAAGTAGAAAATGACAAGAATATGGACTCTTGTCAATAAGTGGCAAAAAGTAAACCATGGACCATGACACTATGCAGAAACACTCTCTATTACTATGCTATAGTTTCTGCATAACCAAGTTTCAATGTTGAAAAGCTGTAACATTGCTTTGAAGTATCCATAAAAAATCCTGAACACTTCTTTATTTAAAAACAAAAAATCTAGGGCACAGGTGATCTATCCAAGTAGAAACCAGAACCAACACTGCTTAGGTTAGCTTTGGAGATAAAGTGCCTTCAGAATGCTATCGCCTAACACACAGGTGTTGGCTCACCTATTTCTTATTTTGGCTTTACATTCATAAGTTTTTTTGGTTGTTATTTACTCGTGTATACATTTTTTTAAATGGTAGTGATGATGTTACATATGTAACTTGCCTGAGTGAGAAATAAAAGAACAGAACCGAAGAACATGGCTGACAGTTATCCTGAATGTACAGGGGTGGGCAAAAGTAGCTTTACAGTTGTGAGTACGTGAGTTAATAAAACTACTGCAATAATTATAACCTGCATGTCTCTTTCCATACGAACAACTGTAAACCTACCTCTGCCCACTAATGCGTTAAACAAAACCTTTAACTTCTACCAAACCATGATTTCTTGCAATATATTTCTCTTTTCCAAGTTTAAACTCATTTTTTCCATTATAACCAAACATAAACACAAATCCACTTATGCCAAAGTGATATCCTCAAGACTGTTAACTGGGTAATTACTTTGAAAATATTAGTACAAATGTTTTTAAATAGTGAATAATATTTAAATTCTGGACTGAAATCAAAGTAAGGATTTAAGAACAAAAGAGTAGATCATTTAATGATTGTGACAAATATAAAATTAGTATTTTTAAAATGCAGCTACGAGAGCATGTATAAAGTAGAAAAACAGGCTTTTTAAGCAAAAGCTAAGCATAAAAATACCTTTTAATGTACTTTTAATATAAACAAGAGATATTTTCACACATGGATTTTTTCCCCCAACAGTATCCAATAATAAAGGTGAAAAAAAAAGAGTTAGTTATGGTTCTATTATGTGAATCCACATTTTTCTATGTTGGCAAAAGCACAAGTGAATAACCCCAGGGAAATCACGACATTAGAAAGACCAAGATGGTTGAAGTTTAAAATAATTTTATATTTTCTATAAACTAACACCTGATTCTTACTTTGGCTTTATATTAATATGGTTTTTTGTTCTTAAGCTTGTTCTTGTGTGTATTTCTTTAATGACAGTGATGATGTTAGACATGTAACTTGCCTGAGTGAGAAATGAAAGGAACAGAACCAAAAGGATCTTCTGGAGGATGGTTATGTGGAGCAGGGAGTGGGTCTACATTCTTATCTGAGGATGCTCTCTCCTCGAGCCTGTCTGCAAAAATAAGACGAAACAAAACAAAAAATAAAATAAAAACAAAACGGTCTTTAAAAATGTTTTAAAGTGGTTTACAGTATAAATAAAAGTGAAAATTAAAGGGACAGCATTTTTAAAAATATTACATTCAGAGTTCATTTTTGTAAGTATTGGGGCTAGTCCTGAGTTTGATACATATCTGTTGCTATAAAGGCAAGCTTAACAATGTAATCTCTGGGCTAGATTTCACTAAGTGCAATTAACCTAAAAACTTGGTTTGGTTTCTTTAAATACCAGTTGTCTTCAACTTTTAACATACTGGACCTGCACTTAAACCCAGTTTACTAAACTCAGACATATTTGGCAGACTTTCTCCATAAATACATTTGGAAAAAATATTGCAAATGGTCTCTCATTCATTAAATAAGTAAATCCTATTTCTCAGCAATAAAAAGTAATTCACTCTTTTTTTATTCATTTCTCATATTATTTGCAGTTATTAAACCATTCACATACAAACAGGTACAAAGATATAAGCATCTCTCTACTAAATTAAACATCTTAATGACACAGTTTACTCATCCAACAATATTTCAGCATCTGTATTATTTAGATATAGGCGCTGTTCTAGGCAATGGGCATGCAACACCAAACCAAAGAAAAATGCAATAAGCAAATGAGAAATACATATACAGTATGTTAAAGACAAACCTACAGAGAAAAATGTAGTGCAGGGTAAAAGGAATTAACGAAGATACTGATTGGGTGGTTCTGGGAAAGGTCCTGAGATTCTGTACTTCAACAGGCTCCCAGATGATGCGGTAATGCTGGTCCAGGGAGCACATCCCTGAGAAGGCAAAACCCTAGAGTCTACATTATCCTGAATATACTTGACCACTGCTATGAACAACTAATTCTTTAAATATCTTTATGATAATGGATACAATTACTAGCTTTTATAGCTATAACTAACTCTGCAAATTCTGTAAGAAACTTCAGGTCGCTTCAATTTTTACTTAAAATTTTGTTGAAGCACTAATAAATATTTTGTTAAGGAAACATACCTCATCATTTATGCACAAACAAAACTTCCAAAACTTAAGAGCTGTTTTTCAAATCCAATACTGCAATGGGTAACAATAAAAGTTTATTTTAGCCTAGCCGGCATGGCTTAGTGGTTGAGCGCTGACCTATGAACCAGGAGGTCATGGTTCAATTCCCAGTCAGGGAACATGCCCAGGTTTCAGGCTTGATCCTCAGTATGGGGGCGTTCAGCAGGCAGACTCTCTCATCATTGATGTTTCTCTCTCTGAAATCAATAAAGAGTGTGTGTGTGTGTGTGTGTGTGTGTGTGTGTGTTAAACAAATAAATAAAATGACATTTTATTTTAGGTGTTCTTTTTCAAGATATTAACTGTATAGTTGATTCAGGAAATCAATAACAAATGCTGACTGAACTATGAAGAAAGTTTTTTTAAAAAATATTTTGTTGTTCAACACTAAAGAGAAGTCTGTGTATTGTGTGCCCACCACCCAAAGTCAATACAATATACAGATCACGTATCACAGAAATCCACACTTGAAACCGATATAATTTTATTAACCAATGTCACCCCAATAAATTTAATAAAAAAATAAATAATTTTAAAAACTAAACATTAAAAAAAGGGAGAAAAGTTAGTCTCATAGCATATTTCTGAAAAAATAAGACTGGAGAAAACTTTACATAACCAAGGGTCTTTAATTTATTGTGGTAGGAAGCCATATCCAAACCACAGGAGAGGCCTAAGAATCACTGAGCCATAGAGAGTACCTGTGGTTACCCACGTTATCAGGCCCCAAGTACCTTTATAGAATAACTTTAAAACCAGAGACTGTATCAGTGTCCTAGAACACGCCATCAGTTCATTTCCCAAATTCTGGTGCACAAGAGTGAGGACAAAGGAAAGCAGGATGGGGAAGGAAAAATGGACAGACGGTCTCAGAATGATAGCCACAGCACATCAATATCCAAGAGCCCTCATTCTTGAAAATCAAGACAGAGTACACAGAAACTTAGGTCTAAGTCAGGACCAAACCTCCTTCCTAACCATCAGCATCAATCATAAATGCCAGGATGCCTGTGTAAAATGTAGTTATCTGGGACCTACCAAAGATCTAACGAACCAGAATATCTAGGTAGGGAATCTACATTTTAACATAATCTCCAGGTTTATAAACTACTGTACCAATGGTTCTCAGAATATAAAAATGCAAAGTTAACACTAAGGTCCTTTAAATCCTCACACACTGGTGGGTGAAATCATGATAAATGTAAAAATAGCACTATGTAGCTATGATAAGAGTACAAACATTATCACGTAGGAGTAAACTAATACTTTTTATATAGGCGGTCCTCAAAATTAAAAATATGGAGACACTGTCAATGCAAAGTTCATTTATCCAATTATTTCAAACCAGGTATCAGGATAAACTCACTAGAAAATCAATCATGCTCTTATCGTTCCACAAAACATAGAATCAATTTTTCCACAGAAGATTTTTTAAAAGTCATTTAGATTTTCAAAGGTCACATGATAATCTAGGTCCCAGGGCACAAAATACAAAATAAAAACACATATTAATATTTTAAACGATCAATTATTCTATAAATAAAAACTAATGAAATGGTATGTAGAGTTACTCTTCAAATATATAGTCACCCCTAAGATGTATTTAAGTTCAATTTTCAAATAAATTGTTTTCTTTACATTAGAGCGAAACTTTTGTTTGATTTGTCCAATATAAGAAACTTACCTCTTCCTGCCTTCCCAAAAGAATTGTGTTGGTGAATAAAGGCAGTATCTGTTCAAGAACTTAAATTGATACAGATGGCAAAAATACGGGATTTTAAAAACCTAGAATCAAAGTATATTCCATAATATCTATCATCAGAAAAAATTACTCTAAAATGTTAATTCAGTAGCTTATATGCTTGAACAGCGAAAAAGGTAATAAATAGTAGGTTCAAAAGTATAGTCTTCGTCTCATACTTTTGAAACTGTTCTTAAAATACATAAAAATTTCTCAGTTATTCTGCTCTGAAGGAACTGTAATAGGTCTGAATTGGCTTAAAATGATGAGAGTTAATGTTTTAAGACAAACTAACTGTATATGTAGGTGTTTATATATATTTTATTCTGTGACTTCATAGGAAAGAAAAAAACACATTCAGTAGAATTTGCAAAACAGCCAGTCTTTAGTTTCTTCTAAGTCTTCCTTTTAGTTTTGATGGAATTTTAAACAAAAATATAATAAATCCACCACCACCAAAAAATAATCCATTCCATTAAGTATTATTTTTAATTAACATGTAGAGCTACACAACTATTTGAACACATGCAAGTTAAACATTTTCCCAAAGCAAACGCCTGTTTTCTAATTAATGTTTAATGTATTAAATATTATGACAATTAGATTACTAAAGTTTACATATTAATCTGGATATTTTGGCACAAAAGACAATGAAAAATATAGACTTAAATTTTTAAAAATGTCACTAAGACCAACTTTATTAATAATGCTTCACTTAGACTTATTGTTTTGGTCTTAAATAGGAACAGATAAAGAAAATTTTGAAGCATAAATAATATTCAGTTACACTAAAAGCAAAAGCAGGAAGAATCTGGTTTTATGTTAAATCCTTTTGCCAACTGTTTTTTTAAAGATCACTAAAAAACAGTTTGGGTTATAATTATTAATATTTTGGAATTTTAGTATCTCAAAATATATGATTTTTAAATTATCTTCTGGATAATACAAGTAAGTATTTCCCAGACACCATATCATTTTCTTTTTTTTTCTTTTAATAAATAACCATGCACCATTTTAAAAATAAAACGTGAAATAGGAACGCATTATTGTGAACAATCACTACATGGGCAATGGTTATATCTTTAAGGATGACACATAAAGGTATTCAGTTTCTCACTAGAAAGCATTTCATAAACCACATCTAAATTATTTTAGAAAGGACTCTGAAAGTTGGTGATAAATAACTGCCTGAGAAAAAAAAAGATGAATCTGATATTTCAAATGCATCAATAATTTATTTATTCATTTTGGGAAAGTGGCTAGAGACAGAGGAACCAACCATTGATGACCAACAATGAACTTTCATTATGCTGTGAGTTTTCTACCAAAACTCTTAAGTTTCTGGAAGAGGTCTTTAGTCCATTAGTGTAATTTAAACCTGATCTATCAACCAGATCAAATATTCAATACCTTACTGCTTATGAATGAAAGAGGTGCTAGAGATGACTGAATACTATAGTTAAGTGCAACTTTTGGAGGAAGACTTTCTAAATTATGTTCTATACATTCTGGATTTCTTTATAAACTTTATTAAAGACATTTCACCTTTCTTGAACCCCATTATTATGACTATCAATTATTAGGAGAAAAACAGACATGTTTCTGTATCTCCTTCTTTGCTGTTACCTGTCACTCTTGCTGTTGTATTTGCTCACCAAGTCCCTCATAATTTGGTTTTTTAATTGCAAGCTGAGAAACCTGATAAATATAATTTTCAAATGCTGGTTAAAGGGCAATAACTTCAAAAGCTGGAGCCTAAAGACTTATACAGAAGGTGAGAAAAGGGGAAGTGGCAGTTCACTGAGTATCTACCCTTTAAAGACCTTATTCCATTTAATTTTCTTGAGAACCCTCTGAGGTAAAGCATCTTATACTCAGCTTTTAAAAGAGGAAGTGAGACAGCAGTTAAGTGACTTCACCGAGATTACAACCTAGTTAAATGGCACATCAGCCTGTGACCATGATTTCCATAACTCAGGGACTACCCAGGCAGTTTTCTAAATGGATAAATTGCTCCAAGTCTGACATCCACATAAAGTTCCTCCTGCACTTTCACTTAGAACTGAACATCTTTCCATAATTACCACTGCAGTGAAGTCTGAACTCTAGTTTGTCATACACATGTGTGCACAACCACATGCATAAAGTACATGTGTTATCTGACCTTGAAGATTGAAAGCAAATAGCTGGTTAAGAATTTTCCATGCTAAATCAATTTTTATGAAGTTCTGTATAAATGAATATTTATATGCCATTCTTGCCTATATTAAGCAAATAAAACGGGTGTCATTACAAATTCTAGGAAGCTTTAACACATTTTTATATGGTCAAAATGATGTGAACACTTTACTCATTCCATAAATTGATTTTCTAAAAGGGAGTTTACCAAAAAGGGAGAAAATACTGATGTAGCAAACCACTGATTACTATCATGGTCAGAACACATTAAAATAAGTTTTTTTAATTTTTCTTATTGCTGTAAAAATAATCTTATAAATTATAATGACCTGGTTATCCCCTGTGTCTCCCTGCCAACCCCCAAAAAGAAATACTTTGTTTCCTTTTCCAAACCTTGCTTTTGGGGTCACTCAACATAACTTATACGAAAAATGTCAAACAAAAAGTTACGGTTTAAAAAAAAATTTTAATAAAAAAATATAAGATTGGTTTCACCCAAGTTAACAAACTCTTATAAAGGCTCAGAATTCATTTTATATCTGCACTAGATCATCAATTTAATTTTTGATAATCATATAACCAATATGTAAAATACAAATTCAAATCCCAAACAACTATTCTTACATTAATTCAGGGCATTTAAAATTTTACATAAAATATACCAATTTGGAACAAAGCATTTCATCTAATAAATGTTCTCCTAAGTCCGGTTACCTAAAATAAAATAGCAACTAGAACTAGGGACCCTTAAGATCTTTTCACATGCAAAAATGGGTAAACATACTTGGATGTGTGCGCCCACGCATGTGCCTGCACGCACGCACATGCAGCTTTAGAAACCTGAAAATTATCTACATACTCCGGAAGTAAACTTTTTGTTCCTATTCGGTAACTTCCTCAAAACACTCCACAGATCCCTTGTCCGAAATGGAACTCTTCTAAAATATGTACGGCGAGGCTTTAACATATATTTTAGGTAGTTTAAGAAAAGGCAATGATTCCAAGTAAAAACATTGAGATATGTGATTTAAAGTGGATAAGAATTTATTTCACTTTTGCCATATCAGGACAACAAAGCAGCCCTTTTATGTCATCACTCATTAAAAGGACATCACAAAACATTAACATAATGTAGTAGCCCATGTTTTCTTTCAGGCACTTTCAAAGGGCATCTCAGACCCACAATATCTTCAATTGAGTGTGCAAAAAAAGAGAGCTGCAAAATGATTATTATTAAGGCAAGATACTAATGTCTCCCTTTTTATTTGAACATTAATTTTCCATCTTTTGGAGATATTCTGAACTTAAAATTTGAAGATATGCAATATATTTTAAGCGTTAGGAATCAGCATATTATCAGCAATCTTGGATTTAACAGCTACTATCAAGCAATTGCGTTCTAATGCACACAACATAATTTGATCATATGCGTAAAAGAAGATGGCCTGATTTTTGCCCTCAAATGCACAAAAAGAATTTTCTATTTACCCCCTTCAAACAGTCTTTGGCCTTGCTGAATAATTTCTGAGCTGTTATTTTACTGTGAAGCAAAATAAGCCTTCAAGTGTCCCTTACTTGATCTTAGAAGGTCAAATTCTCTGTCCAACAGTTCTTCTTCTGTTAACTTGGAGAAATTATCCTCTCCAAAAGGATTCCACCCTGACATATCAGGTGGGTTATTGATGTTCTTCTGATTTAGAATATTTGCAACTGCTTCTTTATCAGCAACTGACCTAGAATAATAATTAAGAGAAGAAAAAAACACATTAGAATTGAATTTTTTTAATGCCCTACTTTATAAATGCTTAGAAAAGCAGACTGTTGTATTACGATGAAGATGGCAGAAAAGGGCATGGATTAAAAGAAAGACCACCTGGGGTTTGAACAGGCTCTGTAAAGGTTACTAGCTGTGTACCCTTGGGCAAGTACCTTAACCTCTCTATGTCTCAGCCTCCTCATCTATAAAACAGGAGTAACAGTATCTACCTCATAGGATTACTGAAAAGATTAAATGATTTAATACACAAAAAGCAAAGAGAACAGTGTCTGCTAAAAAAATAATAGTAAGCACCCAATAAATATTAACTATTACTATCATACTGAACAAGCCTTAAAATCAAAAATCAGTAGCCATATCAAACAGTTATCACTCTAAAATCACTATTGAGTGAGGTAATCTTATGTCCTTATTGTGAGAAATCACAATAGCTTTCCTTTTGACAAAGGCATTCTCTATATAGCTACCAACAAATAATTAACTGCTAGAATTGCTTTATGAATTAGCTAAAACTAGATGAAGGTTATTTTCTATATAATAAATCTTTCATGGTATTTAAAGTATCTATAGTCCAGAACCTGGGACCACTGGTTCTATGAAAGTTATCTAATAGGCCTCTTGGCCTTTAAGAGAAGATGAGAGTCTAAAGTTGTCTTAACCTAAGAATCCCTGGGAGCCTCTCCCTTCAACCCAGCCTGTAAATACAGCACAGGAATGAGGCAATGCAAAACAGTTGTCAAGTTCATTTCTAATTCAGATCCAGATGTGCTAACATTGGTAATGGAGGAACAATCTCTATGTGCTGCTTTTTTATTTTTTTTAATCCCTACCCGAGGATAGGTTTTATTTTAGAGAGGAACGG